TTATGCAGATTTAGTTTAATGACCCTTTTTTCATTTTAGGCAAAAATTAAACATCTACCATTAATATTAATAATAAAATTAGTATATATAATTTCCGATGCGTAAAAAAAGTAGAAGGACACTTGCTAATATATTTAATTTAGTGAGTTGTTCTTTAGTTAAATAGTGATTTTGTACTTTGTTTTAGAGTCTTTTTTTTGTCAAAAAATGTAATTTGTTTAGACGCTGTTTACGCTGTTTCTCCGTTCTCAAAATGCCTAAAGGAATACCTTTGAACGATTTTCAAAAAGGCCAAATTTCCCGCATATCAAAATGATGGTAAAGGTGTCACAGAGATTGCTCGATTGTTGCAGGTGAGCCCCAATACAGTTTCAAACTTTATCAGAAATCCTACAAAAATGGAAAGAAAAAGAAGACTGGTAGACCAAAAAGTTAACACCACGTGATGAAAAAAAACTTGTTCGTGTGCTTAAGAAGAACAAAGGAAGTCTTTCAAAGGCAAGAAATCAAGCAGGACTTAATCATGTGACGAAACAAACAGTTTACAACTATATTAAAAGATCTAAAAAATTCATTTTCAAAAAACGGAAACATCATCCTAAGTGGACAAAAGCTCACATTAATAACCGTTTAGCGTGGGCTAAGGAGCACATGTCCTGGACTACAGAATGGACTTCTGTGATATTTTCCGATGAAAAGAAATTTAATTTAGACGGTCCAGACGGATATCAGCACTACTGGCATTGTCTGGGAATGAAGACGAATACTATTCAACACGACAAATGGGAGGAGGGAGTTTAATGGTTTGGTTGGTTTGTTGGATAAGGAGGAAGGACAAGTCTGGTTTTCTTAAATGGTAGGCAAAACATACAGACTACATTCAAGTACTGAATTCCGAGCTTCTTCCTTATGGCTCTAGCTTGGGGGTGAAGAGTGGAAGTTTCAGCAAGACGGAAGTTCCATTCACACCGCGACTGGAGTCAAAAATTGGTTCCTAACAAATAATGTGGATGTTTACCATGGCCAGCCAAAAGTGCTGACCTTAATATAGTGGAAAACATCTGGGCAATGCTAGTTCGTCGAGTTTATGCTGATGGAAGGCAATTTGATTCGCTAACTCAGCTTCGAAAAGCATTGAATGACTCGTGGGACAATTTTTGTCAAACAGAAGTTCAATCTCTATACAATTCACTTCCAAACAGAATATTTGAAGTTATAAAGGCCAATGGGAAGAACATTCCTTATTAAAATCACTGTTTTTCATTCATTATAATGCTGTCCTTCTACTTTTTTTACAAAGTTTCAAAAAAGAGAAACTATTTTTGTTGCCATTAATATTTTATGTTTGAATATCATAATTCTGATGTTAAAATTGTGTTTTTAAAATATTTGTAAAATGTTTCTAATAAAATTTTTAGTAAAAATAAAATATTTTTCGGTTATTGTTACAAAATCAAGTGTCCTTCTACTTTTTTTACGTAGTGTATATACAGGGTGTTTCAAAGGTTATGGGACAGCATAGTGTATTAAAACATACGTTTTTGTATAGGAATGTAAGGTCGGAAGAGACTTGTTGTGGAATGAGTTTCGAGTCCTCTGTTTGGCAACCCAGGACTTCTAGGGTTTTGTGAGTTCTAGGGTTCTAAAGGACAGAACTGTTTATGACTTTATTGCCATGTCTAAATGCAATTCTTGGCATCCATCGATATGTTTAGGTAAAGAGAATATTGTAAATCAATTACCTGCTAAACATTTATTAGGTTCGTTTAATAAATATAAAAAGGGTGATTCAAAGGTTATGGGACAGTACAGCGTATTAAAAAATACGTTTTTGTGTAGGAGTGTATCGGAAGTGATTCGTCGAGGAACGAGCACACTTTTAACGAATTTCTAGCAACAGCCAGGGGCAATGCGCCAACTGATACCCATCACGTGACGAGTTTCCGAGTCCTTGTGTGGCAACCCCAATGCGCACTCTATTTATTTAATTCTTACTCTGTGTTTTCATTTACGTGGCTCCGGTTGACTTAATGGAGGCTTCTCGTTGCTCGGCTACCCATTGTGGCTGCGAAATGACTAGCATCTGTTCATCAATTCACTCCTTCGAAGCTACCTAGCACTGTGGGTGGTCGCAATGTTCAGCACTTCTTGTGAACATTGAATGAGCAAACACTTTTCAATGGCAAACAATGCCTTCTTTTCAAGTCTCATTTTGTACCCCAACGCTTCACTTCCCACCTTGCATTCCTACACAAGAAATATATGTTTTGATAAGTTGCACCACTCTTCATAGTTGCCCCATGACCTTTGAATTATCTAGTATGTATATATGCTTGTAATGCATAAAAGTGTATGCAAAAAATATGTTTTATGTATACCATACATAAACATCATTATTTATCATTGCTTTGTATGAAAAATAACTTTATATATTAATACCAATATTCGTATGGAAAATTGACAAAGAGCCAAGGTGAACGGATTAAAAAACAGAGCGGTATCACAGAGAAATAATTGTCATATAAGAAGGATTTTAACTTCCATTAAAATAGTTTTAATTTTAAATCATTAAAATATTAGATGACACGATATGAGATGAAAAAGTAAATAAAAAAAAATCTACCCTGACTATTGTATTATTTTCTTTCAAAACAACTTTGCACCCCGTATATCTGACTAGCATCGATAACTAACAATCGTTTCAAACGGATATGGGGTCGGTGATCTATTTGTGGCATACATAAGTGGAAAATCAAGTCCACCACCAACAAAAATATTGCAGATTTGTTATTAAAATATCTTAAATTGACACCTTAATATGCTCCATGTCTATTTCAGAGATAAGCATGATAAATGTGTTGCCCAGAAACCTTTTCCGGCTCGTTTTTGAGGAACAAGATTGCTCCCTGATGGTGTTATTTCTCTACACTAAGGATGGGCAAACTTTTTTCGGTCGCGGGCCAAAAATCGAAAAAAAAAAAAAAAAAGTTTGGCGGGTCAAGATAAATTTTTCTAAAATTTTAAAACGATATACAAGTATTACAATTTAAAAATATTAATCAGATGAATGAAATTGCGATTTTATTTTTAAAATTTCCTTATATTGAGGTTTCGAAGTGAGATGTACTGATTCTAAGGAACGAGGCTAAATGCTCCTCTGTCAGTCTACTTCTGAAATAATTCTTTCTAAGGTTCATAGTTGAAAACACTTGTTCACATATATAAGATGAAGCAAACCTAGCACTGATTTTCTGGCCGTGAGATATTAAATTTGGGGAAACTTACTTTCGATAAGGATTTGTAAAACTCTAACTTTGACATATTTAGAAACAACTGCTTGAGAGGATTGTTAGATTGCAACTCAATTAATTCAACCTGCAAATCTAACTAACAAAGAACCTCCACTTTTAACACTTTACCGATTGAAAGCTGTCTGCGCTTGCTATTTAGTGTTTTATTCCGTCGTTTTTATGTTTTGTGGAACAAAAATAGAGAAAGTAGAAAGATCATCAGTCATTTGAAAAAAAAGGAAGAAAAAAAAAATATTTAATCAAAGTAGAAAAGGAGATGGATATATAATATATAAATACTATATATTTCTTTTAATTTGCCTCTGATCGGCAAATTAAAATTCTATCCGCGGGCCAGATAGAACCTTCCTGCGGGCAGTAGTTTGCCCATCCCTGCTCTACACTGTAGATGGGGAATCTGCCAAAATATGTCCATCTCAGGCTCGGATTTTTTATACCGACTCCCCAACTCCTGACTCTTTTCCGTAATTTTATGGGATATCTACTAATGAATTTAGAGGAATTCTTAAAATAAATTCAATTGCTTTTAATGAACTCATTTTTTTATAAGAAACAAAGTAATTTTTACAACAGTTAAAGGTTAGACTCATTTAAAAGACATCCTCATGCTCTAAATTGGCGCATAATAAATACATGCAATAAAATAGCAATACTAAATTAACAATTACAATAATTTAAGACAAACAAAAGGAAATTGTGCATTTTAACCATAAAGATGCTTTATTTGTAAATTGCATTACTTCTGTTTTGTTCTTGATAATAAAATAGTTTCTATAAGATCTTTCATTACCGGCGACCTGATGGCCAAATGGCTAGCTCTCTGGCCGTTGGTCAGGCTCGAATCCTGACGGTGGCATGGATGTTTGTGAGTGGTTCGAATCCACTTTAAACTGTAGGTCCCGGTCTAGTTAGCCCCTAGTGTGCATAAAATGACCGAACAAAATGAAACAAACCAAACCGAAAATGACCGAGACAAACCAAACCAATCTTTCATTGTGGTTCCAAGACAGCTTTATATAAGCCCCAGCGTTGAAAAATTGATTTTGATTTGATATATTATTACTCTGATTGCTACTAAAGTAGTCACTGACTTTGCTACTGGGTGTATATTGAATTTCCCTACTTAATTTTCAATTGTAACATTAATTTCTAGAATTTTAGTAAAATAAGAATTATTTTTATCAAAGTGTCAGGAGTTGGATTTTTCAACAGTTCGCTTGAAATTTTAAATGGCAAATTTTAAACCGATTTTTGGTTATTATTTTACCCGCTCCGATTCCGACTCACCAACTCTGGTGCAAACTTGGTAAGGTTTAATCTGCTGCCTATCTTCTGCTCCAATGGCCAATGACAACAAGTCAAGTATTAAGCGCTTGAAAAGAGCAAAAGAGGCATTTAACTTTAAAAATACTAAATTCAGAATAAAAAAAAAACACCGTGCTGTAACTAAGATTTAAAAATGACTTCTATTTATGACAAAATAGTAACATGTTGCTGCAAGTACAAAACAGAATAAATTTCCACCAACTTTTTCACTCCGATTTGTAGTACTTTTAAGGATAGGAAAGCATGAGAATTTGTAATACTTTTAAGGTTGAAAAAGTCTGAAAATTTGTACTTTTAAGGATTGGAAACATGAGAATTTGTAGTAACATGAGAATCCAACAGGCCGCAAAAATTTTGAATGCCAACGGTACGCGTTGTGCCTAGGTGGTCATCCTCCTAAGTACTGACCGCGCCCGATGATGCTTGGATTTCGGTGATCAAACGAGAACTGGTATATTCAGCATGGTATGATCATTGCCATTAATCTTCCAGCAAAAGTTGCAGGGGTCATTACATATACACTCATGTCCATAAATTAAGGATAATTCAGAATCACACAGAAATTGAGCTCTAAAATAAAAATATCACCTGTAGAATTATCACACACATCTTGAAGAAGAATATGCAAATTACAGGAAACTACCAGATGGCGCGGATAGTACGTCACAATGACGAGAGTGTAAGAGAGGGGTATATAAGGAATGGTGGCAAAGATGTAAAATTGTTCACAAGCGCTTTAAAAGCCTTTCAGTGCAATAACCGCATAGTTATGGCACAAAGGAAGCATTTGGATGATTTTTACGTGGTAGAATTATCGGACGACTGGAATGTGGACGTACCCAGCTGGAAGTATCCGAGGAACTTGGAATCGCCCAGAGTGTCCTCTCCAGGCTTTGGCAACGATTCCAAGATGATAGTAATGTGAGTAGATATTACAGCACAGGTCGCCCCCGAGTTACAGCGCCGAATGAGGACCGGTATTTAGCAGTTACTGCCAAAAGAACAGACGGAGCACAGCATCAGACCTGTCTCTCGCTCTCTTCAGCTACGACGGTTTCAAGGCAGACCGTGTACAGACGCTTAGGGCACATTGGTCTATACGCTCGTAGGCCTGTCAGATGTGTTCCATTTACCGCAACTCACTGTCGCCTGCGATTAACCTGGAGTAGAGAGCATGCATTCTGGACACCGCAACAGTGGTCTGGTGTGATGTTTTCCGACGAGTCCAGGTTTAGTTTGCAGTCTGATTCTCGCCGGACTTTCATATGGAGAGCGCCAGGTACCCGTTACCACCAAGAGAACACCATTGAACGACACCGTTACGGTGGTGCAGGATGGCTCGTATGGGGAGGAATTATTCTTGGTTCCAGAACTGACCTGCATGTTCAGAGTGTAACGATGACAGGCCACATCTATCGGGATGTCATTCTAGAACAACATGAAACGTTTGTTTCGGGGCGCCATGGGTGCTGAATTTCTGTTTATGGATGACAAAGCCCGTCCTCACCGTGCAAACATTGCAGACGAATGCCTTCAATTGGAGGATATCACCCGTATGGATTGGCCAGTATATTCACCGGACTTGAATCCAATAGAGCATGTGTGGGATATGTTTGGCCGACGAATTGCAGCCCGTCAACCCCCTCCCACCTGTCAACCGGAACTTCGGAGGGCATTGCTTGATGAGTGGTGAAATATTCCCCAAGATTTTATTGATAATTTGATACTCAGCATGCCTAGGCGTTGTAAGGCCTGTATTACATCGTCCGGGAGACATACTCCATATTAACCATCCTACTAACCATGTTATACTGTTTTTTGTAAATAGGTTCTTTTTTGAAATTTGCTCCAAGGAGTAAAAATTGCAATTTTTATTAATTATGTCAAACATATAGCATCTTTTTTGCTCTTTACCTTTTGTTTAATAAATAGACTTTTACGAATAAGTCAAATTTGTTTTGCTTCTGTCTCTTTCTTTGCCTGAACTTCATTATCCGTACTTTATGGACATGAGTGTATTTGAGTGCTTCATTGGAGAAAATTCGGTAAACTTCGATTGTATCTTTGTGTTACAATCTCTGTGTTAAATCGATACCGAGTTTACTTGTTTTTTTGTTATAGTGAATTATTTTAAGTGGGAATCGAACATTAGAGCTCTTGCACACACACACACAAAAATTGTACTGGACCAAGTTACGTACGGGGCAGTAACTATATTATAGTAAATGCAATAAATTTTAATAAAACGCTTTCATTTCTATAAGTGAACAAGTTCTATGAGTATTTTTGCTTTTACATTTCTAATGCAACTTCAGAATTTTTCCCCATCATATTCACCATTGCATTACATGTCAAGGTTTCTTGATTGTGAAACGAAAAAAAAAAAAAATGCCAGTCATCAAATAAGTTAATGAAATAAGAGATAAGCTCGCAAAACGGAAATCATGAATATATCCTGAAAACATCATGTGCTCCTTCTGAAATCCGGGAAACATCATGTGCTTCTTCTCAGCTGATTTGAGGTAAAAAAAAAAAAGCACCAGTTAGACAATAAAACGACTGCAATTCACGATAAACGGGGTTCCCATCTCTGAAACGGTACTTAGGTACTGTTTACGTCCTTGAAGTTTATAACCCCCCCCCTCCGTTTTTTACGTAAAGAGAAAGTGAAATAACCTTGTACGATATCAATAACCGTTTGCATACTTTTTCATAACATATTTACGAAGAAATAATCAATTGCACACTTCGTAAAAAGTTCATGATCTTGATATTATAAAATTGACTTTTTGGATTTACTATTCCTCAATAAATTCATATTTATTTGCCAATTATTATATTAAGTTGATTTTGATTGAAAGCAGAATTTTATAATAAAAAAATTATATATTTTGTGCGTTGATGAAATATTTTCTTACAAAAGAGAAAGAATTTCATTTACTTCTGTGCCAAGAAGTAAGACCAATTATTATTTTTTTTTCGAAAACTCTTCCAAATTTATTTCCTCGACTTCAAAGTAATCCCCTCCGGTCACAATGCACTTATGCCAACTTTTTTGCTAATCCTCAATGCATGTTAAAAAGTCATTGGCAGGAATGGACTTCGAAGCGCGCGCAGATTCACGTTGAATCTCTTCAATCGATTCAAAACGTTGTCCTCGGAGTGGCCCAGCTTTTGTTGTAGACCAGGGATGGGCAAACTATTTCGGTCGCGGGCCAAAAATCGAAAAAAAAAAAGTTTGGCGGGCCTTAATATTTTTTTTTTTTAAATTTTAAAAACAATATATAAGTATTACAATTTAAATATGTTAATGAGATGAATGAAATTGCGATTTCATTTTTAAAAGTTCCTTATATTGAGGTTCCAAGTGAGATGAACTGATTCTAAGGAACGAGGCTAAATGTTCATCTGTCAATCAACTTCTGAAATAATTCTTTCTAAGGTTCATAGTTGAAAACGCTTGTTCACATTTATTTAAGATGAAGCAAATGTAGCACTGATTTTCTGGGCGTGAGATATTAAATTTGGGAAACTTACTTTCGATAATGATTTGTAAAACTCTATGTTTGGCATATTTAGCTTGGCTTAGGCAAATTTAGCTACTTTGGTTTGCTATTTCCGTCGTTTTATGTTTTGTGGAACAAAAATAGAGAAATTAAAAAGATCATCAGTCCTTCGAAAGAAAGGAAGGAAAAAAATATTTAATCAAAGTAGAAAAAGAGATGGATTTATAACATATAAATTTATATTTATTTTAATTTGCCTCTTACCGGCAAAATTAAAACTCTATCCGCGGGCCGGATAGAGTCTTCCGACGGACTGGAGTTGGCCCGCGGGCCGTAGTTTGTCCATCCCTGTTGTAGACACTGTTTCATTAAAACGAGAAGATTCGACGGAGTTTGGGATGTTCCGCATCTTGCCTCATGAGTCGAACTACCTAGTGGAGTTTTCCGGTTTTTTTTCCATACGATACACAAATGCAGGATAGTCACCTTAAAAGTCCTTCCTTCTTCAGTGACACGGAGCCAAGTCAGACTTCTACCTAGGGGGAAAGTGCTTTTCAACAGGGGTGGGGTGCAACAGGCACGTTCCCTTCTTCCACGAGTCCACACAAGTTCTTGGACTTGGTCTAGATCAGCGGTGGCCAACCCAAATGATCTTACGGGCCACTTTGGAAATGCACCATAACTCCGCGGGCCACATTTAAAATTATATATCCCCCTATTAGATTTAAACCCATTATAAACACCCACATTTTTTGGAGTGAAAATTGGAACATAATGAGTTATTATTTTTGTGTTTATTATTATTCTTACAGGTAAACATAAATAACATAATAATAATGATACTTGTAAAGAAATATATAGCACTAAAAATAAAATATAAAAACATATAAACATCAATGAAATAAAAAAAATGAAATCATTAAAAAATATTTATTTTACTAGTGCTATATGTGTTTCTTCACTCTTTCATTTTGCTTTTGCAAATCGATCTCAATTTGGGTATTTGCACATCGTAATGGGTGTTGAGTCCGTTATGTTTGAGCGTGTTTTCTGTTGAGTCCATTTCATTTTAGAAAAAAATCATTCGTAGGTGTAAGTTGAAACAAAAGCGCTAACAACTTGAACTAAGAGTGTGGTTTGCTCTGCTATCAACAATCAACTGCGTGTATTTAGAGATGGTCATTGGTCACTTAACGTGAAACATGGAGCTTGTTATATTAGATGTTCCTGTGCATGCCTCATGAGTTCGCAGAATATAATTTAATTATTCTGCGAACTCATAACTGTAAACTCATCCATAAAACAGGCAATATCTGTCCTATATTTGCAAGAATATTATTTTAAAATCAAACTTAATTTTTTCGCATAATTTCGACAGTTCATTTTTGATTATAGGGATGCACACATAATGTATTTTCTTTAATGCGTTCGTTTTCACTCCTCTCGCCATTATAAAATAAACATATTTTGTAAAAGTGTGATAATTCTCACGGGCCGAAAAATATGCAAGGCGGGCCGCGGGTTGGCCACCCCTGCTCTAGTTGTTGTCTACCTGGTGGAAAAAGAAAAAAAAAATTATTGCATGTAATTATGGATAGTTTAATAAAGAATAGCCTCACAATATTTAAAAATTGATGTTGCCTTTTGGCTCGTGTGAAAAAATTTTAAATTCACTACGGAAAATATTTCATAACACTCAGTTATTAAACAGAAATCAGGTTAATAATATTTAACAACAAGTATTACTACTAAATTATTTTTAATCAAAATTTATCATTAGAAATTTCTACCTATAGCTTCCCATGTATTAATTCGATGCACCAATTTTTTTTTCCTCAAATTATAATTTCTAACTAAGTTAAACATAAAAGAATTTGTATTTCAGTATTTTACTGATATAATATGTACAAATCTGATATTAATATGGCATGCATTTTAAACACTTTAATTTTATTTTAATTTCGATGTA